TCCGGACGGGCCCAGGAGCCTTGCCGCACCTGCCGGCCGGGACAAAGGCGCGCCACTGCCCGGAAATTCCCCGCGCCCCTCTTTCCCGCTCGTCGCCAGGCAGCTTCAAAGCTGTCAACGTTTCCCTTAGTTCCCGGTACGAGTGACAGGTCGGGAAAGTCCTTCATTTTCTCCGCCTTTCAGGGCCTTCTTTTTTTGTTGTGTTTTGACGGTTCGACACAAACTCTTCTAATGACTTTTCTTGTATAATTGTTCAAAACCGTGTACTTTTATTGGTGGTACTTATTTTTATAGTAAGGCCAGATATTTGAGCTTCTCATCTGCAACACCAGAAAGAATCGAGGTTTTGTAAACTATTTGCTGGTTTTAAAATATTTTTTCATCTTAGAGTTTTCATTACTTTCTGAAAGGGAAGCATAATCTTTTATTATAAAAAATAACATTGGCTTTACAAATGAGGAATACATACTAGAGTGGATGTAGAAATTCTCAACTATTAAAAGCATATGTTGGGGCAAAACATTTTAATCCAGACTCCTCAAAAAAAATTTCTAGATATTTTTAAATTTTATTTAGTTGTAATCTTTTTCTGAAATATGATTTGGAAGTAAATTGGATTCAAGACAGAGGAGTATAATTTTTGCTTTAGTAATTGTTTACACATCGACCATATTTTGAATTTAAGAGAAAATGGAAGATTGGAAAGAATCTTTTTAAGAAGTGTTTTAGAACTTCTTAAAACAGTTACAAATATGTGTGTGGATGAATGGAAGGGCCTTCACCACTTTCTTTGGCTTTAGGAGTATATACCACAAATAAGAATACTTTTCCAAAGTCTGCAAGGTAAACAAATTGTAGTTTGTTTATACAATAGCTGTGATCAAGCCATCAAATATCACAAAGAAGATTGTTGACTTTGAAGAATCTATTCTAAGTTAAAACACAGGCTACAAAATAACTTATATGGTTTGTTAACACTTTTTTTTTTTAAAGGTTACTAAGGCATAGATAAATACAAAAAGCTCTGAATGCCAATAGAAGGGTGGTTTTTCTCTGAGTAGAAGAATTGAAGGTGTTTTGGGTTTTTACCTGAGTATTTTGTTTTTCAAGATTTTGTTTTAGGCATGTATTACAGTATTAAATATCACTAGAAGCACAGAAGAATACTGAAAGTTTTATAAACTATCAAATATACTTTTTGATTATACTGAGTTAATATTTTCCCAGGTGTACGTTATAGTCTTTACTGCCCACTATAAATTATCATTGGTAGTAAAACTTTTGGACTTGTATCTTAAACAAGGCCATCTTAAAACCTGGAATTAACTTCAGAATCTCTTTCTTTCCTGTTCATGAAAAAATAATTTCTGAAGGGATGGTTACAGACCTTTTTAAACTATTCAAATAAACTTTAATTTTAAAGGTCCTGCTTAAGCTCCACTTTAAATACCTTTATTAAAAAGGTACATTGAGCATCCAGCCTGTACCCAATGCTATTCTCCAGAACAGGATTACAAAAATAAAGGAGACCCTGCTCTTGTGCCTGCAGACTATGTAATCCTAGAGTTAAGCTTTGAAGTGTCAAGGTGATTTCATGTATATATGGTCTTAATAACTCATATATGTACATACACACACACACACACAAACACACACACACATATATATTTTACTGTTCTCACATTAGGAGTGAAGAAACAGATCTGAGAGGTTTTGACTCAGGCAATATCAAACATAATTAGAGGTGGAAGATCTGAGACACCTAATCTTCCAGCATAGGTCCTGTTACTTTTCCCACCTTAGAACATTGCCTTTGTTACCAAACTTCCAAATTACTCTTTGGATTAAAAAAAGTTTTAAAATTATCTTTCACTTGCATCATTTTCTTATCTTACCAAATAATGATTCAAGGATTTTGGGATATTGCATTATCTAAACTATATACACTGGTAATTACTTTTTTTTTTTTTTTTGGTCATTTGATCTCAATGGATAATTTATAAAAGTAATTGTGAACTATCAAAATAGTTGAAGACTAAATTCATGTGATGTCTTTCTAATACAGATAGGACTTTCAGGAAAAATTTGTCTTTCTCTGAATTTTGGGACAGTGGGGCATTTTTCTAGATTCTGCTCACATGAGCCATTCTCGGTCTGTTCCAGCTTACCAACACTTGGTGTCACATGTGAGCCTCCCACATGTGTTCACTCTCCATTCCAGCTCTGTGATTGAACTCTGCTCTTATTGACTAGGGGGCAGTTGGGCAGGCATGCTTCATTCCTGGAATTGACTGTCGTTCCATGTGAGTAAAGGGGAGGCTCAGTGAGACATCTTTCAGCATATGAAAGCATTTGGTTTTAAGATGGAAGATATGTCAGGTACTGTTGGTGCTTCAGCCTTTGCAGCAGTTTGATAGGTGTCAGACAACTGATATGCCTGTTTTCTCTATCTTTCTATAGCAGTTCTATTTGAATGTTTCTATGTTTTCTATGTACTCATTTTTACTTTTTCTGACCCTTCTTTTCTATTTCCCCTTTCTCTGCCTTATTCTTTTTCAGTTTTGAATATACTAACACTGAATCAGCACTTCTAAAGCCCTGCCTTCTCTCACTGGCTTCAGTTGGCCTTCAGACATAATGAGGAGACTGGCTTTTCGAGGCGCTGGTTGTGCTCTGGTAAAGCTGGTAAATTACTGATCATCTAAACCCTTTTCCTTTTGTTCCTTGCCTTTTCCCTTCCACCTTTCTTAAATCCTTTCCAAAAAAAGTCCCTCCTGTGTTCATGAAATTCACCTATGTCCTTGTCATAGCTTATTTACAAAGGATTGGATCTTAATTTTTTCAACTTAAAAGAATTGAGGCCAGTTTATCAGCCTTTTATAAAATGAACAAAAATCAAACACAACTTGATTTTTCTTGGCCTAAGCTTTTGGGAGGTTTAGCCACTTTTAGCCAACTTCAAACTGATATCCCATATAATAGACAAAAGCTTAGAGGAAGGAATATCATCACAGTAGGTTCTGTTTTAAATAACAGAAGAATTTCTTTAGAGGAAGAAATGAGACTCTATTTGTCTCTGTTGCTTACCAGGATTTTTTGTTTTACTATATTCTATTTCTGGAAGATCCCAGGCTTCTCTCTCCATACTACTGGCAGCCAGTGCTCTGTGGATAGGAATTCATTCATGGTTTCCTGAAATGGAAGGTTAATGAGTAAAACTGGGATCTATTTTTCTTTTAGCTTTAGTGAAAGACTTTTGAAATCATAATGTGCTGTTTGATACTGTTGCTAAATTGTATAAGCATTGTAGAACTTTCTTGGATGGATAACCTTTCCATGTATCTATATCAGATCATTTTAATGGTTGTATTTCTTATGTTATAGTCAAATTAACATATTTGTAAGGTTGTGTTAAGATTAGTTTCTAAGCAGTTGGTCAGAAACTGAGAGCAAATATTTATGTGTTTCTGAACCTTCAAGCAGGATGTAAAAGCTCATGTATGAGGTGCTTTTCCAGATAATTTAATGAGAGTAAAGCTTCGATTTCAAATTTTGAGGTTTAGAATATGTCATATAATTGAAAGGGAGGTTAGTCTGGATTACTAGAAGAGTTTCACAGCACAGTTTTGCTACTTCAGGAATGACAAGTCACGTTAACGGCATTAGCAGGGGTATATCTTGTGGGTCCTGCTGTAACAAATGGGAAAAATTCATTTTCTGGGTTATTAATTTCTGAATACATCTGAAATGCTTGAAAGATAATTGCCTTCTCTCCCTTACTTTCTCCCCCTGCGTTTTTTATACAATTCATTTGCCTTAGGCACTACTTTCTAGTCTTCTCCACATTGTGGCCCACTTGGAGAATAATCATAAGTAGCCTCCAGCAGGAATGATATTGGGGCCTTTGTACCCCAGATCTACCCAGCTGCCCCAGAGGCTCAGGGATCAATACCTCTAGTACACTGTTGTACCTATATGTGGTGGATTGGAAAACTCCAGTCCAGAGTAAATCTGGGGCCAGAAGTGGTTGAGTCATTCAGAATGGGTGATATACAAATGAGTATACTTCTGTTGAATTTTTTCATCAAAGTTTAAAGTGTAGCATTCTGGTAAGTAAAGAGGCTGAAATGGTGAAGTCCAGGACTTGAATTAAAAAAAATGAAAAAGAGCTTATAGCTAATTAAACTCCTTTGCAACAGTTAAAATATCCTTTTAGATGAAGCAGTAATTTGATAGTAGGCAGCCAGTTGAGGGGTTTGTCGGCAGAGTCAAAATTTAAATGTAAGAACATGGAAATTATTTCTTACAGAAGAAGTTGGATTCCATGGGTTCCAAGAGACGAAGAGCTACCTCCCCTTCCAGCAGTGTCAGTGGGGACTTTGATGACGGGCATCATTCTGTGTCTACACCAGGCCCAAGCAGGAAAAGGAGGAGACTTTCTAATCTTCCAACTGTAGATCCCGTGAGTAACTTGGGTCACACAGTTTCTACCTGATTTCCTTACTCTTTCTTTTATGGTGAAATAGTTCAGATTCCTCTCTGCTTTTTTCCTCTGGCTTGATCTTTTAACTTTTATGAAAAGTATTTGTTTAGCCACAAGTTCATTGGTAATTATATTATTTAGTATTGTGAAACATTGAGTATCATTATGTCATTTAATAAAATGAATGCTTGCTATGTGATGGGTACTGTTCTGATAATTGGGCTATAGCTTTTTTGTGTGAGGCAAGCCCATTTTTCATGTGGAGCTTAGTTAGCTTTCAATATAGGAGAAGCAGAATTTACATATTAACATTGTTCTGCAAGTGAACAAGTAATAATAAAATGCCTATAGTAGTGATAAATACTAAGAAGAAAAGTTTGGGTGGTTTGAGTTGTTTTGGCCTGAATCTTTTGGAAGATTCTCTATGATGAGCAGGTACCAACCCTGCAGAGTCGCAGGACCAGGGATAGGTTTGATATGTTGTGATTACAGAGAGATGGAAAGGAGTGCTGTGTGCAGTGGCACACACTTATAATTTCAGCTACTTTGGAGGCTGAGGCAGGAAGATTGCACGTTTGAGGCCATTCTGGGCAACTTGGTGAGACCCTATCTCAAAATAAACATTTTAAAAAGGGCTACACATGTACTTCAATGGTAGAGTGCTTGCCTAATATGCAACAAGTCCCTGGGTTCAATCCCTAGTAAATGAAGAAAGGAAGAGAAAAAATGAAAATGGTCAGGTAGGAGGAGACTGGTGAGCTTCACCCAACCATGGCATATAAGACCTTTGGGTTCTCATCTGATAATTTGGGGATTTATCCTTCCTCTTTGTTTGCCTTTATAGGTTTTTTGTTGTTGTTGTTGTTTTGTTTTTTGGTTTTTTTTTTTGAAGAGTAATTGATTTATTTTTTTGGTAATTTGTTTCCTCTTTATACACGTAGATTGCTGTTTGCCATGAACTCTACAACACCATCCGAGACTATAAGGATGATCAGGGCAGACTCCTCTGTGAGCTCTTCATTAGGGCACCAAAGCGAAGGTGAGTTGGAAGTACATCAGTACACTGGGAGGATTTGTTGGAGGGTCCATGTTTAAAGTTGTTTGATGATTGAGTTTTCCTTTGGAAGGAATGGCTTAAAAGATACGGGAGTCCATTCTTAGTCCTAGTTGTCAGGACTAAGTTGTAAGGCTTTTCAATTTTAGTAAAAAAACATAATATAAAATTTATAGTCTTTACTATTTTTAAGTACGTATTAAGTGTCAGATATATTAACATTATTCTGCAACAGCCTCCAAAAATTGTTTCATATTCCAAAACTGAAACTTTATACCAGTTAAACAATTTCCCATTTCTCCTACCTTTCAGCTCCTTGACAACCACCATTCTGCTTTCTGTTTGTGTGATTTTTAACTACTTTAGATACTTGTTATGAGTAGAATCATACAGTGTTTATATTTTTATAATTAGCTTATTTCATTTAGCATAAGGCCTTCGAGACTATTCATCTACACTGTAGCATGTAATAGGTTTCCTTTCTTTTTAAGACCTACTAATAGTCCATTGTGTATGAATATCACATTTTGTTTATTCTTGTGTCAGTGGACTCTCGAGTTGCTACTTAGGGCCTTGCTAAGTTGCTGAGACTGGGATTATAGGCGTGCATCACCACTCCTGGCTGCTCTCAACCAGCAGGCTAGTGCTATGGGTGTCTCTGTGGAATGCATGCTCTCTCGGACATTAATGGGAGATTAATTAATTGTTTAAGTGTACATAATTTGTGACTCTCTTTTTGAGACTTAGTGTTGGTTAATGTATTAGGTTACTTGTACATTCAGTTTAACAAAGTTGAAACAAAAGGAATTTCTTGTGTACAAGTCCTCTGAAGTCTCAAGTACTATTTCTTTGTTCTGCTGTTCTGGGGTATCTCCCTTTTCTGTGTGGTCTAATAAGAATGTGGCATACTTTGGGGTTTTGTTGTTGTTGTTGTTTGTTTGTTTTTAGTACTGGGTTTGAATCCAGGGATGCTTTACCACTGAGTCATATCCCCATTCCTTTTTAGTTTTTGAGACAGGACCTTGCTGAGTTGCTAAGGCTGGCTTCACACTTGTAATCCTCCTGCGTCAGCCTCCCAGGTTGCTGGGATTACAGGTGTGTACTACCAAATCTGGCAGACTTCAGTTCTTGTATTTGTCAGAACCTAGCTGTAGTGAAGCTGAAGGCTATTGTCTTTAGTAGCCATACAGCAGCTAAGAATGCAGTATCATCCTAGAAGGGAAAATGGACTTGAGTAGACTCTGCACATCAGGGCCAGTGTTTCTCAGTATTCTGGTTTAAACATTAATTGTAGTTGGAATGAATTCTGAGTTGGATTGGAATTGTTCCTATTGGTATGAATTCATGGTTTCCAAAGTATGTAAATAAGTGTGTGTGTTTTCCCTAGCTCTGTGTCATGAGACAACTTGGAAGCAGCAACACCCAGTAGCAATGAACAAGTTAGTACAACCTAGTCCTCAGATTTGTTTTTTAAATGCTGTGTATCATTGATAGGAATCAGAGTTCCTTGGGGAAAACAGTTGATTTCCAGGGGATGGGGCAGAAGAAGTGCAAAATGAACCTGGAACATTATATTGTGCCAGGAAATACGCAAGTGCTCCTAGGGTGATGAGAACTTGTCAGAAGGACATAGAAAATAGAAGCCTAAGCCAGGTATGGTGGCACACACCGTAATCTCAGTGACTTGGAAGGCTGAGACAAGATGATTGCAAGTTCAGAACAGCCTCATCAACTTAGTGAGACTTTGTCTCAAAATGAAAAATATAAAACTCTGGGGATGTAGCACTATAAAGTACCCCTGGTTTCATTCTCTTGTACAAAAAAAAAAAAAAAAGCTGTCTTACAGCCTCCTGTTGGCCAAACCTGGTGCAGTTTGAGCATCAAAATAATTATTATAAGCGCCTTTAACCCACTTTGTAAGATAGGAATCCAAGAGTACATGTTAAAATAAATGAGTAAGTTGAAAGTATGAGGCTTCTGCGGTACTTCCCTAGCAAATATGAATCAAGAAAGAATAAATTGGTCAGTAGAAAAACCTTGCAGACACCATCATAATCAAATGCTCAAATTAATCTATCTGAGTAATGGGACAAGACAAAAATGATGTGCCACCTGATAGGATTCAGTGAGAGGAATGCAGCATCATCTCTGTTATAGTCCTGCTCAAGTAGCATAGCATGAGTTTAATTACCAAGAAAGTAGAAAAATTCAAATGGAGGCACATGCTACAAAGAAACTGGCCTCTAATCTTCAAAAATACCAGGATCATAAAAATCAACAAAAGACTGAAGAGCTATTTCAAAATGAAGGAAACTAAAGAAATATAATTAAATGCAACCTATGATTCAGGACTTGATTATTTTGCTATGAAGGACAAGTTTGGAACAGCTGGCAAAATATGAATAGGGTCTGAGAAGTAGATGTATCAAAGTTTATTTTCTGATTTTGATGGTTGAATTATGGTCTTTGAAGGAAATATGCAATAAAATATTAGGAATGATGCCAACATTGACTAAAAGGTTTAAAAAAAAAGTTCTTTCTGTTACTACAATTTTTATGTCAGATTAAAAAAATATACTAATAAAAAAAGTACAAAACAACAAAATACACACACACACACGTATACACAAACTAAAGAATAGTTATGGGCTGGAGTTGTGACTCAGTGATGGAGTGCTTGCCTAGCACTTGTGAGGCACTGAGTTCATTCCTCAGCACCACATAAAAATAAAATAAAGATATTGTATCCACCTAAAACTAAAATAAATATTTTAAAAAAATGAAATAAATAGAAAAATGGTATTATATCCATCTATAACTAAAAATATTTTTTCAAAAAGGATTATAACATGTTAAACAAGGTCCCATGAGAGATTAAAGCTTCAATGATCATGAAATTCTTTGTATGTTACAGCTCTTCTCTTAATATTTCTAGAAGGGAGCTAAATACCCCTGTGGAAGAATTTTTTTAACCACCACTGGGGATTAAACCCAGGGCCTTATATATGCTAGACAAATGCTCTGTCCCTGAGTTACATCCTAGCCTTGTGGGAAAAATTGAGAAAACCAAATTATTTTTCAGAAAGTTTACTTGTTTTATGAAACACAGTATGGAAAAAATCTAGAAGTAATAATAAACATCCATGAATCTAAATCTGAGAAATTACCTTGGGATTTACCATCATAATTGCTTTTGAAATTCCTTTGTGTCCCTCACTATCCCTGCCATCCAGTATATACATAATCCTGAATTTTGGGGTTATTATTCTCATACCTTTTTTAAAAAAAAACATTCTGGTCATGTTTAGATGGATCTTACTATCCTTTTATCCTTAAGCCAACTTTCTCCTTTGTAACTTAAGTGATTGATATTAAAGCAACATAGGTATCAGATACTTGTTAGTTATTGACAAGAAAAGATTTTGTGGTCACTAACCGGAGAAAAATAAGCCTGTTTTTAAGTGTAGAGAGTTTTGAAATGTGTTTTTTCCCAGCTACTTTGAAACACCATGAAAGGTTATAAGAAAATACCATTTGCAAAAAAAAAAAAGAAAAAAAAATAGAAAATACCATTTACATGGGTTTAGGGCTGGAACCCTAAACCTTAGATATTTCATTTATAATGAATATTGTATAAAAATTCATCATGGACATTACTGTAGGTTTTTATATTATTAATATATTTAAAAAGGAGCATACCTGTATCTTGCTTTTGTTATTCCCCTTTTGTTCTAATAATGGGAATGAGATTGATGTCAGATTCTAATTTGGTCTGTCACTTAGAATGTTGGAAGTTACTACAGATAGTTTTGAAATATATTTTTTTGTATACTTTGGATTAATAGTATTAAAAAAATTTAAATTATAACAGAAATCAACCAGACTATTATGAAGTGGTTTCTCAACCCATTGACTTGATGAAAATCCAACAGAAACTAAAAATGGAAGAGTATGATGATGTTAATCTGCTGACTGCTGACTTCCAACTGCTTTTTAACAACGCAAAGGCCTATTATAAGGTAAGAAAGCATCAAATTTGGAAACTATTCAGTTTGGTAATTCCCTAGCTTTTTAATATTACCAGTCTGGTGTTGAGTAGTGCTTTCTCTTTATGGTTGAATTCATACTTCTCTTATTAGTAGAGACTGAACACTAGTGATTATGAGGCATTCTTGTTCCTTTTGAAAGGTATCTGCTCAAGTCTTTTGCCCATTTTTCTCTTGGGTTGTAGGGGATTGAACCCTATGCAATCTCCCACTGAGCTACACCCCCAGGTCCTAATTTTCATAGTATCTTCTGGTGAACAGAAGTTTTTTTATTTTAATGTAATTAAATTTATCAGTCTGTATTTTTGAATGAGATGTAATTCTTACATTCTCTTTAAACCATAGAATTCAAGAATTTTTAGTTATTCACAAACCCATATAGCCATACACTTAATTTCTTAGAAGAGGGATTGAGGCCCTCATGTTTTCTTTTCTTTTTTTTTAAAGGAAGCTCATACATTTTTTTGTTTGTTTGTTTTGTTTTTTAGAGAGAGAGAGAATTTTTTAATATTTATTTTTTAGTTTTTCGGCGGACACAATATCTTTGTTTATATGTGGTGTTGAGGATAGAACCCGGCACACATGCCAGGTGAGAGCGCTACCGCTTGAGCCACATCCCCAGCCCCTCATATTTTCTAATCATAAGAATTTTAAAATGTGTGATAGTAGAGTTTTTAAAATTGTGCCTTAAAATACTAGCCTCTGCTGGTACAAGATGTTTTAAAGGTAGCAATTGATTTATAGTAAAATACTAAAGTGATTTTGTTTTTTCCCTCTTTGCTAATGTACAGCCAGATTCTCCTGAATATAAAGCTGCTTGCAAACTCTGGGATTTGTATCTTCGAACAAGAAATGAGTTTGTTCAGAAAGGAGAAGCAGATGATGAAGATGATGATGAAGATGGACAAGACAATCAAGGCGCAGTGACTGAAGGAGTAAGTGTATAGCTGGAACCAGTCATGGATAGGCTGTGGGAAGGTGGATGGGGCACTTACCTGTGATTCCCTCTGGGCCATTGTGGGAAGCTGGACTGACTTCCTGTGCTGTTTTGTTATATTAGTTAACTGGGTAAATAGACAATTCTCTCAGGTGGAGAGCCCAGCTCCAATTTCAAATGATCCTGGACGTTCTGGACAGTGTGTTTCATGCATGGTTGTTTTTATGAATTGCTTTTATATTAATGCATGTTTTATGCACAGTTTTAAAGAGAATCTTGGTATTATTGAGGACTAATCCAACATTGCTGGACATAAGACATTATGTAGGGTAGTCATTGTTTTGATTATAAAAATCAATAGAATCACCTTAGGAATACTTTTATGGGTTAGACTGGTTACTATTCTTAGGACTTGCCAGGAGTGCTTCTGCTTCATGAATTCTGTAATTGTTCTGTGCTTCATTTGGTTTTCCCTGTGACTGGCTCTTTTTTATTATTCTAATGTTAGTTAAAAATAGTGTCAACCAAGAGAGAACTTTCCTGATCCCCCATCCAAATTGCTATACATTCTCTCTTTTCACCCTCACCTGCCCCAGTGTCTCATTGTTATTGCCTGTGTTCTTCCCTTTTTATTACTATATGTGAAATAACTTATTAGTTAATGTGTCTATTTTCTGTCTTCCCCTAAGTACAATGATAACTCATCAAAGGGTAGCACTTGTTTTTTTTTGGGGGGGGGGGCCGGGTATTAGGGATTAAATTCAGGGGCACTTGACAGGGTCTCACTGAGTTGCTCAGCACCTTGCTTTTACTGAGGCTGGGTTTGAACTTGCTGTTCCTACCTCAGCCCCCCACCTCAGCCTCCCGAGCCACTAGAATTACAGGTGTGTACCACCGTGCCCCACAGAGGGTAGTATCTTGTTCACCTATTCCTGGCATCAAAACTATGCCTGACATGTAGGTACTGGTAAATATTTGCTTAATGAAAACATTCAAAAAGGGGGGAAAATAGTGGGGGGATTAGAACTCTCTTCTGCAACAGTATTGTAAAAAAAAAATGCACAACACAGAGCATTCCACTTTCTTCTATAAGTCACCTAGATAGACCTTTTGTTGAAACTCCAATACAGAAATAAACAGTGGTGGCTGAAGTTCTCAAAACTACTACTTAGAGTCTCAAAATAAGTTGCCAGGTACCACATTAAGTTCTTTGAAAAAATTAAGTGATTGGAATTATATAGAAGACAGTTAATAATAGGGATTCCCTGGAATTTTACTTTCTTCAATGTGTATAGGGTAAGCAACTTAACCCAGGCTTTCTTAGGCTGAACATTTGATTTGATTTCTAAAGCTCAGCCTTACTTCAGCATCCACAGCTCTAGTCAGAAATCAAAATTGCCTATATTTACTTATTTATTTTATTTGTATAATAGTTGAAAAATTGTAGGATCTTGCACATTTATATTTATGCTTTCCAAACTTTTTTAGCCTAAGGGTTTTATGAACAGGGAAGGAATCTTCAAGCTTCTAATTTTTCAATCAGTGATTTCCTTGGAGTTTTCCTGATTGTTGGAAAGATCATATGAATATATTCACATACCTCGTTTCATTTGTCATCAGCAATATCCAGAGTAGCAGGTTGTATGGGAGGAAAAGAGTCTGTTAACTACAGAACAAAACATTCCTCTTAGAAGCAAACTCTGATACCATGGTTCAGCCACAACACAATGGCTTAAACACGGGAATTTCAGTTTACTTTCAGCAGGATCATGATGGTTCTCTGAGCTTATATACTTGGAAGTTTTGACCAAATCATACATCTTACATGTTAAATATTTTCCGGGTGTTTGTTATTGCCAGGCCTGAGTGACTTAGAGCCCTCTCTGTCAAATTGAGACCACACCAAATGAAAAAGGTTTCTGTTGGTTTTGGACAAAAATACCAAATGTTTTTACAATTTAAACCATAATAACCATTAATATTTCATCTGCACAAAATATGATTTGGATTTGTAGTACTATTTAATATAAACCTAGACTGTAGAAACTTACTTCAAACTTGGACTTTACCTGGCCAATTACTCTTTGGGATGTATACTTGCCTGTGTTGAGACAGTAACTAAGCTAGGTATAAACCAATCTGTTTAAGAGCTGAAATGGTATGAATCAGTTTAGTTAATCTCCATTCACATTTTTTTTTTTTTTTGGTGGGGGGTACCAGAGATTAAACCCCATGGCTCTTAACCACTAAGCCATATCGTCACTTTTTTTTTTTTTTTTCCCTAATGTTTTATTTTGAGATAGGGTCTCACTAAGTTGCTAAGGGCCTTGCTAAGTTGCTGGGGCTGCTTTGACCTCCTGAGGCACTGAGATTTCAGGTGTGTGCCACTACACCCAGCCTCCATTCACTTTTTTTTTTTGGAGGAATGGGTATTGGGGATTGAACTTGGGGCCACTCAATCCCTGAGCCACGTCCCCAGCCCTATTTTATATTTTATTTATAGTCAGGGTTTCACTGTGTTGCTTAGTGCCTTGCTGTTGCTGAGGCTGGCTATGCCCACGATCCTCCTGTCTCAGCCTCCCAAGCTGCTGAGATTACAGGAATGCACCATCACGCCTAGCTTCATTCACTTTTGATATAACTTGAATTCAATTGTTAGTCCTGGTGGAGAATCCAGTGGTTAATAGCACGTAATCATAATTTTATATAATATGTAGTCATTGTGCTACTGGAATACCATGACTCTAGTGGATGTGAACAGCAGATGTATAAATGGCTAAGTATTGTGGGGCATATTTTCCCAAGTTCAGTTGCTCAGACCATAAAAAGATACATTTTGATCAATTCATACCTATGGTACTTGAAATTTGCTTTCATTATATTAACTGTGGAGTCGGCATGACTGTAATCCTAGCTACTTGGGAGTCTGAGGCAGGAAGATTGCAAGTTTGAGGCCAGCCGTAGCAACTCAGATCTTCTCTTCTCATAGAAAAAGGACTGGAGGTGTAGCTCAGTTTTAGAGCACCATGTTCAATCTCCAATAATACAGACACACACACACACAAAAAAAAAAAAACAAAAAAGAAGAAGAAGAAGAAAGTGTTACTGTGGAAGAGTCAGAAAGGAAATGATCCAAGAGATTTATTTTCAGAAATAATGTAGAAACCTCATTAGTTTCTTATAGGCCATTCTGGGGATACAACTCATGTACATCAATCAGAGCATTTCTGTGGTATTCTAGAAACTTGAACTTAACAGTTGATCTTTTGAATTAACTTTGTAATCTTAGAAGCCAAGTTTAATATTTGGCATGTATTTATTGATTCTGTTACAAAGTATTTTTCTCTCTCCCTACGTTTCCTAGTCTTCTCCAAGTTACCTTAAAGAGATCCTGGAGCAGCTTCTTGAAGCCATTGTTGTAGCCACAAATCCATCAGGACGGCTCATTAGTGAACTTTTTCAGAAACTGCCTTCTAAAGTGGTAAGTGATATGATTAAACACAGATGAATTAAGGTGATAAATTTTTTTTAAGTATTTCAAGAATTTTATTATTAGTGAATACAGTAAGATTAAAAGGAACATGTTGGAAGTATCCAGGATATCCTCCTCGTGACCTCACCTGCAAGCAGAGAACATGGTCTGTTATTTTACTTGAACACAATGTTGTTTTTTAAAAGGTAATGATTTTGTCAGTCTGTCTGTCGCTGAGGGTGGAGGGCCAGATCTTGCTGTGTTGCCCAAGCTGGTCTCAAACTCAAGGGCTATTTTTGATTGCCTTTCTTTTTTGTTATTATGATAAAATATATGTAACATAAAACTTACCATTTTAGCCATTTTTAAATGTACAGTTCTTTGGCATTAAGTTCATTTACATTGTTGTGTAATCATCACTACTGCCCGCCTATCTGCAGAACTTTTCATCTTCCAAAACTGAAACTTCCTACCCATTAAGTAACAAATCCACTTCCCTACTCTTTCAGCCCCTGGCAACCACCATTCTACTTTCTGTCTTTATGATTTTACTATTGAGGGGATCTTATATAAGAGGAACCATACAGTGTTTGTCCCTCTGTTGACTGGCTTGTTTCACTTAACACAAAGTCTTCAGGGTTCATCCACGTTATAGCATGTGTTAGGATTTTCTTCTTTTTTAAGGATGAGTAAATCCATTATAATGGTATACCACATCTTGTTCATGCATTCATCTGTGAATGGACACACAAGTTGCTTCCATGTTTTAGCTATTGTGAATCATGTTGCTATGAAGATGGGTGTACTAATATCTCTTCAGGACCCTGCTTTCACTTTGGGGTATATACCCAAAGGAAATTTTCTGTAGCATATGGTAATTTTTTACTTTTTTGAGGAATCACCGTACTATTTTCTTGTCTTAAAATTTTAAATCATACAACGAATGTAATCATTATATCTTTCTAATCAAATCCACACCTAGAATAGCAGTGATCATATGCTTGCTTTCTGTCATAACTGTCCTACAGCCATTGAAGATGCATCTTTAAATAACCAATTTTATCAGTAACTGATGCATTCTCTCATCAGTCAGCAAGTACTTCTTGCATATCTATGACATGTTGGGTGTCTACATGGCAGTAACACAAAGGTAAATATGGCATGGTCCTTGTTCTCAAGAAAATCAGGTAGTGGAGGTGGATAAAAGAAGAAATGATCACAGTGGGGGTTAAATCTATAGTGGAGTCCTTCTGAAAATATACTCTTACTTAGAAATATTAGAATTCTGGGACCATGAAAGTTTTTGTGGTTTCACAGGCAGTGGTATGAGTTACATCTGTAACCGTGTTAATTGTCTCTTGTATGTGAAACTATAAAGGGTTCTTTCTGATCCTTTAAAAGCTTTCACTTTCTAGAAAATCTTCTTTGTAGAGTGAGAAAGTATGCGAGGCAAAATATGTAATCAGCTCTCTAGGAAATCAAGGAGCGCTAAGGGAGGAAGTACTTCCTCTCACCTTGCCTTCTGAGGAAAGAGAAAATTTCCTTTTTTACAAATAAAAAAAGTTTAGGTGTTTATTTTATCATTAAAGAATAATCTTGGAAACAACCCAAATGCTCATTAATAGACAAATCAATAAGCAAAGAAGTTGTTTATACAAACAATAGAATATTATTCAACCTTAAAAAGGGAGGAGATTCTGAAACATCCTACAACATGGATGAATCTTGAACATAAGCCAATGAAATAAACCAATCACAAAAGGATAAATAATGTATGACTCCTCTTGTATTAGGTTCTTGGAATAGTGAAAGAGACAAAAAGTAGAATGGTGATTGCTATGAGGGTAGGGGAGGGGAGAAGCACAGTCCGACTTCCTCTGAACCTCTTGCAACTGCAGTTATTTCCGTCAAGGCACAAAACTTGCAGGAGAGCCTGAGGGTAGTGAATAATTCTAGGCATTGTGAAAGCCTCAGTGGTATCCCCCAACATGTCCAACCCCTGGGGATGAACTAGTATGATAAAGTAGAAATTACTTATAATTTTGCTTCATTTCTTTCATATAATTTCATTTAAAAATATTTTATTTTGAAAAACCTTACTTTGATTAAAGCATTAATAAAAGCATTAAGTTAAACATGAAGCAACAAATTTTTATGATTTCTTATAGTTCCTTGTGAAGTTTATATGAAATATTATATAATTGTTATTTATATTATAAAATTTAAAAAGCTTATAAAGAGACCCATTAAGAACTTTTTTCTGGCTGGGAATATAGCTCAGTTGGTAGAGTGCTTGCCTTGCATGCACAAGGCCCTGGGTTCAATCCCCAGTACCACATATACACAAAAAATAACTTTTTTGATTGCTATCTGGGGACCTTAAATTTAGACATTTATGATTCTGTGAATTTAGAATTTTATGTTAAATTGTAGTATATTAGTTGTGTAGAATGTGTAACTATCAATACCAAGTGTAAACTCCTACATCTGTTGAATATTTCATTAAGCTTCCCAACCCCCACCCCCCCAGTACTGGGCATTGAACCTAGAGATGCTTTGCCACTAAGCTATATCCCAACCCTTTTTATTTATTCTGAGGCAGGGTCTCACTAAGATGCTGAGGCTGACCTTGAACTTGAGATCTTTCTTCCTCAGCCTCCTGTCTCTGGGATTACAGGTGTGTGCCACTGCACATGGCTCATGAAGCTTCTTAAAATAACATTGTATTTTGTTTCAGATATAAAATACTGTATGTCTTTATATCTGTGAATGTCACAAAGCTGCTCAGTTTCTTGGTTGACAACATATTGTCAGTATGATTCTTGTGTTTTCATTAGCTCGCTGCTTTCACTCATTGAGCAAACCTGGGTTTTTGTCTTCCAGCAATATCCAGACTATTATGCAATAATTAAGGAGCCTATAGATCTCAAGACCATTGCACAGAGGATACAGGTATGAACGTGGCCATATGTAATCATATATGGTTTGGAGCAGATTGGCCTATGGACTTAGAGAATTTTAGAAAGCAGGGAAGTGAGGGGCTGGGGATGTGGCTCAAGCGGTAGCGCGCTCGCCTGGCATGCGTGCGGCCCAGGTTCGATCCTCAGCACCACATACCAACAAAGATGTTGTGTCCGCCAATAACTAAAAAATAAATATTAAAAAATTATCTCTCACTTTAAAAAAAAAAAAAAAAAAAGAAAGCAGGGAAGTGGATATCTCTTTAAGGGTTATTAGTATTATCAAATAATATAAACAGAGTAGTACAACTTGCAGTTTTGGATTAAGGACAAAAATTAGGGCTAGGGGTATAACTCAGTGGTAGAGTGCTTGCATGTTTTGGGGAGGCTATGGGTTGAATCCCCAGCATCAAACAAAACAGAACAAAATTGCTTTAGGGTATCTTAAACAACAGAATTTTAAGTGAAAATAAATACTATGCTTTCTTTAACCTTCTTCACTACTCTCCCACTCAATTTCCCCAGAAATGATAGATGTAGTTAATACCCATATGGATTTTCTATATACCTAGCCCAGTGCTAGATATATTGGCTAAGTCATTCTTACAATGACTATATGATGTATATCCTGTTATTCCCATTTTAAATATTATAACACTAAAGTATGGAGACTTGTAGCCAAATATGTACTAAATAAGTATTAACTAATTGTGAATGTATGATTAGGATTTGTGGTTTGATGATTATATGTTAAGGTAGGTGAATGCAGAAAGATATATATTCTTCCAGAAATCTAGTTTCTAGAGTGGAACTTGCTTCTTTTCCTAGCTCTTCATCTTAAGTAGTTGTATCACTTGGGTCATGTGACTATCTGCTTCCTCTGCTGTATATTAGATATAGTATAACCACTTGGCTGTGATGATATATGTAAACTGTCTCATGTAGCAACTATTAGATGAGCCCATAATCACTAGGAATCACTCATCTTCCCAGGGTAAGAAGATTATGCTACTCCTGGGAGATAAAGCAAAAAGGAGAACAATGTGTTACTTAGTCTCATTGAATAATGAGACTGTGGCACAGTGATTTGCTAAGAGAGAGAAATTTCCTTGGCTCTAAATTTTAAGACAGCAACAAATTAAAGAGTAACAATGTAGTAATTATAGATTCCATAGATACATTTTCACAGAATGTTAAAATTCGGACTCTAATTATCATCTGGTTTTGAGGCAGCCCAGTAAGTGCACCGAATGCTCACTTTCTGATTCCCTTGGTCTTCATCTATCTAGGGGGAATGATGTTTTCATAATACTGAAAATCAAATCAGATTTTAAACACCTCTAAGTCAGCCCCAGTCTTCTCTCTTTGCCTTTTTGCCTCATCTTGTTCTTATTTCCAAATTATTGGAATAATCTTTCCTATCTCTCCGATCAAAAAGCTCTCTAGTCTCTTTCTTTATCTTGCTTCCTAACCCTGGCTTTCTTCCCACTGTTCCAATGCTCAGAAACTTAATTTCACTTGTCACAACAACTTGTACCAGTTCCATAATAATCAACTCTAGCTACCATAAGCAGAAAAGGAATTTATGAAAAAGGATCGATTATGAAATCGTTGGAATGAAACACTGGGGAACTACTTTTTGGAAAATAAATAGAACTCAGGGATGTCATGGTACTGCCAAGATTACACACAACCTGCTTGTAGTACAATTGTTATTACTACTGTCATTTGCCACTGTGGGCCCTGCTTAGATTCTCGGCCTCTGCAGGAGTCAGTAAGAATTCCTGCCATTCCCTGGCCATTGCTTTAGACACTGAAGACCCAGGCATAAATTAGCTTGTCCGTGATTATTTCCCTTTGCCTTGCTGATAGGTTGTGGGTAAAGCAAACTTTTGCCCACTTCCACCCTCATGGTGGGAAGTAGGGCCTTCCCTGTCACCTGTTCTAGGATTCCTTCCAAATAAGACAGGCATTCAAAAGTGTTAGTTCCACATAACAGATAACCATCCAATCTCCATTGCCTGCTTTTTTTGGATTCTGCCTCATTTTGCCTTTGCCTTTCCATACACTTTTGTGCTACAGTTGTACCCTTCCCCACCCTCCCCACTTAAATTGGTTTCTTTGAGTTTCTCTAGAACTACTTCTTCCTGTGTACTTATATCATTAAGTACATGTATACACATTATATGTGTTTCTTTTACCTAGCATGCATTCCTCCCTCCTTTCCTTTGTAAATTGAGGCAACTATGTGAGTATTTCTAGGTTATTTTGGAATAAGTGAGCTTTAAGATGTGACAGCTCTAGCCCAAAAAGAGTACATAGAAAATGTTAACCTCTATGCTGGACTGATTTTATAATTTACCTCAGGTGGTCCTAATAACTCAAGGAAGTTTTCCTTCACATTGTTAAGGCCACTTTAGTGAATTAGTATTCATGAAGCACCCAGAACAGAGCTTGGATCATTGTAAGCATGTGTTGGCTAACTAAAACATTTATCTTACTTTTTTTTTTTAATTAAGTTTTTTAATGAAAATAATGTAGTTCTGGTTTTGTTACCTATTATAAAAACTTATTTGTAAATGGGTAGTAGGAATAATTTATGAAAGAAAATTAAATATTTTTCACATATATACTTTCCAATAAAGTCTTAGACTTATGGTGACAATTTTAAAATATGTGGAGTTCTTTTTTAATTAAAGGTTTTACTGATATTTTTTAACATTTATTAAGAGGAACTGCTATGTTTTGTTGTTTACTGTAGAATGGAAGCTACAAAAGTATTCATGCAATGGCCAAAGATATAGATCTCCTAGCAAAAAATGCGAAAACTTATAATGAGCCTGGTTCTCAAGTATTCAAGGTTAGTTTTTTGTTGTTGTTATTTTCATTGATGATAGTAAATACTTTAATTTAGGTTCAATAATTTTTATAACAATTTTATTGAAGTATGTCACATGCCATAAATTTTGCCCATTTGTTTACTTATTTACTTTGGTATTAGGGATTGAACCCAGGAGTGCTTAACCGTTGAGCCACATCCCCAGCCCTTTTTAATTTTTGAGATAGAGTCTCACTGAGTTGCTGAGGTTGGCTTTGAACTTGAGATCCTCTTGCTTCAGCCTCCTGAGCCACTGGGATTGCAGGCATACGCCACTTTACCTGGCTCAAATTTCACCCATTTAAATTAATAGACCCAATTTGATGGATTTTAGTATATTCACAGAGTTAGCAGTCACTCTTCCCCCCCCCCACCATCCCCAGCCCTAGGGAACCACCATCTTTTTGTCTTTGTACATTTGCCTATTCCAGATATTTAATATAAATGGAATCATACAATATGTGGTATGAATTCTTTTGTGACTGAATTCCTTCATTTAGGATAAGGTTTTCAAGGTTCATCAGTGTTATAGTCAGTACTTCATTCTATTGCTAAATAATATTCTATCTTATGGATAAACCCTGTTTTATTTAACCACTCATCAGTTGCTAGATACTTGTTTCCATTTTTTTGTTGATTTTGAATAATACTGCTGTGACATTCAATATAAGTTTTTAGGTGGGCATATATTTTCATCTTATGTACATACTAAAGAATGAGATTAGTCATATGGTAACTATATACTTAACTTTCTAAAGAACCAGCAAACTCTTTTCCAAAGTAGATGGTCCATTTTACATTCCCATTAGTGATGTACAAGTGTTGAAATTTTCTACATTCTTACCAACACTTGTTTTCCATTTTCATCCTAATGGGTGTAAAGTAGTATGTTATTATGGTTTCGATTTGCCTTTCTGTAATGAATAATAATTCATTTTTACATGTGTGTATTGTCCCTTTGTATGTCTTTGGAGAAATGTCTATCCATATCCTTTGCCCTTTTTTTAATTGGGTTACTTCTCTATTTTTGAGTTGTAGGCGTTCTTTATATATTCTGGATATCATGCCCTTAAGAGATATATGATTTTTGAATATTTTCTCTCATTCTCTTGTCTTTTCACTTTTGTGATAGTGTCCTTTAATCCACAAAAGTTTTTAATTTTGATGAAGTCCAGTTATGTATTTTTTTCTTTGGTTGCTTTTGTTTTAGGTTATCACTGCCCAGTCCAAGTTCATAAAGATTTACACCTATATTTTCTTTTTTTCTTTTTTTTTTTTTTTAAGTTTATAACTGTGACTGTATTTATTTATTTATTTATTTATTTATTTTTGGTTTTTTTTTTTTTTATTGGTTGTTCAAAACCTTATACACCTATATTTTCTTCTAGGAATTTTATAGTTTTAGCTCTTACATTTAAATCTTTGGTCCACTTTGAATTGATTTTTGTAATTAATAGGTAATAGTTCAGATTCATTCTTTTATGTGGGGTATTATCCTGGCACCACATATTGAAAAGATTTCGTTCCCCATTGATCATCTTGGAACCCTTGTTGAAAATCATTTAACCAAGATGTAGGAGTTTAATTCTGTATTCTTGGCTCTGTTCAGTTCATTTAATTGTTTGTTCTTATGCCAAAGTAAGGTTTTTTAATCCTTTTTTCCCAGCTAAATATTGATTTATTCCCTGCATTTAAATTTCATAAATAATAAAAAGCAACATTTATAGTGTAAATACAATGTAAAATAGCTTTTCCGTTGCTCTGTAATTCCCTCTTAGAAATTTTGTAGTCCTGCTTGTAGAAATTCCTTGAATTAATCACATATCATTGGGAATTTAGGAAAGAATGCTCAGAAAATCTTTTAGTAGTAAAATCATTAGATTTTCCTGAACCCTGACCCAGATACTATTGCTATTGCCAGTTAATGTTAACTCTATCTTTCATCTTTTGAGAAAGTTTGAGTGAAAATCGGAAATGAATTCTGAAGTCCTGTGTTCTTAGTCCTTGGATAAGACATTTTGGTAGTATATTACTGATTGTTAGTTGATACAGTTAAAAATTTTACTTTTCAATCTAATTATTTTTCTAAACCTTTTCAAGAGAAAGAAAACCTTGGATTTGACTTTTAGGTTGTATACAACTAGGATTTGTTGTATTTTACCATCAGATCTTTGTATATTACTTCACTAACTGTGAAAGAAATAGAAGCTTTTTGCATTTAATTAGTGACAACTTCATGAAGATGTTTGAGAAGCTTACAGAAAAGTTAGAGGATGCAGCTTTGTGAATGTTGAATAGATGTCAGCTTCAAATGGAAAGAGTACCGTGAAAGGTACCCAGTGTGTGAACAAGGGAATTTTTTTTCTATTCCTTTTTAAGCTGAGTAACTTTATTTTGACAGGATGCAAATTCAATTAAAAAAATATTTTATATGAAAAAGGCAGAAATTGAACATCATGAAATGGCTAAGTCAAGTCTTCGAATGAGGTAGGTTAAGAAATATTTAAGATCTTTATTAATTTTCTTCCTTTTTTTTTTTTTTTTTTGGTGTGGTACTGGGGATTGAACCTAGGGTGGCTTTACCACTGAGCCACATTCCCAGCCTTTTTTTTTTTGAGACAGGGTCTCACTGAGTTGCTGAGGCTGACCTCAAACTTGCAATCCTCCTGCCTCAGCCTCCCAAATTATTGGGATTATAGATGTGTGCCACCACATATTACTCAAAAAATTTCCAAGATCTTTGTGTTTTTGTGTTTGCTGAATTTTCTAATAAAATCAATACAGTAGAAAACAAGATTTATGTTACATTTCAAGATTATATTTAGTTAATAATGTGATTCTGAAAAGAGTAGAGTAGCTTATCTAGCCTCTTCATTGTAGCTGAAGGGGGGCTTTATTTAATAAGAAACACTTAAGGTAATACCACTATATCCTCCTCTTACCTTTATAAATACATATTGATGTAATACAATATTATGGTACTTGGATATAATGTGCAGTAGCATATATTTGCAATATATGAAGATCTGAAGTACCATTCTAGTTGGTTTTTCCTTTCCTAGAACTTTAAGTTTGAACAAGTCTTAATTCTGGAATTCTGCTTTCTCTTACCTGAAATGAAAAGGTTGGGTGATTATTTTCAAAGCTCTCTCCTTGTTCTCACATGTATTTTGTTATTATTTCCTCTGGCTCTACAATGACCATAATCTCTCAAGGACTGGCTGTGGTCTGCTGTCCTCTGCAGAGTCCCATGGTCCTGGAGAAGAGCCTGCTGCATAGTAGAGGCTCAGAAAAATTCAACATTTCTATTAGGAAAAAATAGAAAATGTCTTTTTTTTTTTAAATCCAGAATTCTGATTAGCTATCAAGTTTCTGAGGTTTTTTTTATCTTTGACTAGGACTCCATCAAATTTGTCAGCGACCAGGCTGACAGGCCCTTCGCACAGTAAAGGCAGCCTTGGTGAAGAGAGAAATACCACTAGCAAGTATTATCGGTAAGAAAAAGAGGGTTTAGTCTGAGAATTGACCCATACTTAGGACAGTAGGCATATTAATATTTGTCTGATGGCTATTTTGAAATAATATTTTGGGATGATTTTTTTTTTTTTTTTTTTTTTTTTTGAGACATGGTCTCACTAAGTTGCTGAGGTTGACCTTGAATTTGCAGTCCTCCTGCCTCAGCCTCCCAAGTTGCTGGAATAATAGGCATGTGCCACTGATCCCAGCGTACTTCTGGATTATGAGAGTTATTTATCAAGTGCTTTATTTAAAAAGTTGAGATACTTGTAGTAGGTTTTACCTCACATCTCAAATAATGATTAAGGATTCTTTAACCAATTAGTGTTTAGTATTAGTTATAAATAAAATGTGAGATTTAAATACTTATTTGCAATAAATAAGTTTTGTGTTTAGAATAGAATTTTTTGTCATTTAAAAGTATGAACATCTTAGAAGAGAATAACTGGTGATGGTGACTGAGTCTTTACTTTCTATAAAATAAAGAGTACTGCTGCATTTAAGTAAAAAGCGGATTACAAGTTGCCCCACTCCAGGCTTTCTACTACCACTGCCACTTTCTTAGAGGAAAAATTAGTTTTTCTTGGATAACATTGATGAGGAATATTAAGTAGCAAAAAGATAAAGAGGCAGTTAATAGAAATTATTTTTCTGGGGCTGGGGCTGTGGCTCAGTGGTACAGTGCTTGCCTAGCACGTGTGAGGCACTGAGTTCAATTCTCAGCACCGCATATAAATAAATAAAATAAAGGTCCATCAACAACTAAAAAAAAAAATTTTAAAGCAAAAGAAATTATTATTCTTTGTTATTAAGTACTTTGTTAACAGCTCCTAATGACTTCCAATATCTTGTTTTTCTTTGTAGTAATAAAAGAGCAGTCCAAGGGGGCCGTTTGTCAGCAATTACCATGGCACTTCAGTACGGCTCAGAAAGTGAAGAGGATGCTGCATTAGCTGGTAGGCATTAGATTTTGGCTAAATTAAATGCCTTCTAAAGTGGATCCTTTTGGTTGGTGTGGCCTGAAGTTTGTTGGTTTTTGGAGAATGTGCTATTTGGTTCCATTTGATTGCACCCCTTAGTTGGTAGCTGATTTATCAAAAGCTTATTGCTTGGTTAAAATTCATATCTGGGTAAATATAAAAACATGAAAGAGATAAAATGATGTAGAACGGATAATATCCAAAAGGTAGCCATATTAACATCACATAAGAACTTTCGGAGATAAGTGAAAAGATTAAAAAAAGATTCAGCCTACAATAGTAAAAGATTTGTTTCATTGGGAAGGAGTTCCAAATATGTAAATCAAGAAGATGGAACTTTATGGAGAATTTGAAAACAATACCCATCCAACAGAATTCCTCTTCTCTCGTTTGCTAGATAAGTAGAAAAATTGAATCTACTTCCTCATAAGTATGATGCTATTGAAATGAGTTACCGCAAGCTTAGTGGTGTAAAATAAATTTTTTCTTACAATTATGGAGATCAGAAGTCTAAAATCTAGGGGTCAGCAAGCCAGTTTTCCAGATATTTTAGGGGAGAATGTATTTTCTTGCTTTTTCTGCTTCTGAAGACTATCTGTACTTGGCTTGTGGCCCCTTTTCTCTATCTTCAAACTGCATCTTTCCAACTTCTGCATCTGTTGTCCCTTCTTCTTGCTGCTTTGACCTTGTTGCTTCCCTCTTGTTAGGATCCTCTTGATTACATTTAAGGGCACACCCACATAATTCACAGATTAATTCAGGTTAATCTTCTCATGTCAAGATTATTAATTATTATTATTATTAATTGTTATTATTATTAACCTGTTGGCATATAAGGTAACATTTAGAGGTCCTATTGACTAAGACATGAGTATAGATTGGTAGTTATTATTCAGCTTATCATATGTATTCTACATTTAAAGAACACACATTCTTCCTAGTTTCATATTTATAAAAACTGACCATCTACTCAAAACAAATTTCAATAAAGATTAGGTGTTATATAGCCCCCATTTCTTTTTTTTTTCTTTTCTTTTTTTTTTTTTAAAGAGAGAGAGAGAAATTTTTTTTTTTAATATTTATTTTTTAGTTCTCGGCGGATACAACATCCCCGTTGGCATGTGGTGCTGAGGATCGAACCTGGATGTCAGGCGAGCGCGCCACCGCTTGAGCCACATCCCCAGCCCTAGCCCCCATTTCTGATAAGTGCAGCTAAGACATCAACTAACAATGAATAGAATTTAAAAGTCTAAACATCAGAAATTTTAAAATAAAATTTTATCTAAAAGAAGAATTATCTCAGAAATTTAAAATACTTAAAACTGAACAATTGCAACAATGAAATAATGCATCAGAACTAATTGAGTGTAGCTGAAGTGATAATTCAGAAGGAATCTCATAAGTCTGAATGCTTCTCTTTAGAAAAGCACCTGAAGGAATGAACTAGGCATCCAACATTAGTAAATAATAAGATAATTTTTGAAGTTAGAAAAAATGAGTTATAAAGCTAATAGCAGAAATTTAATTCATTAAAAAAGAAACCTATAATGGAAAAAATTAATGGGGTGAAAAGTTATTTTGTTAAGACTATTAATAAAATAAGTTTATGTTGGAATTATCAAGAGAAAAACATAAGAGGTAAGTAAATAATATTAGGGAGGAGAGAGACATATAGAGATTAAATGAAAATGTATTTACAGCATATACATTTAAAAATTTAAATGAAAAAATTCCTAGAAAATGTTAAATGTGTAAAACTGATTCAAAAATTAAGCCAGGCTTGGTGGCACGTGCCTGTATTCCACACTGCTCCTGAGGCTGAGGCCCAAGGATCACAGATTTAAAGCCAGCCTCAGCAACTTAGTGAGGCTGTAAACAACCTCGGGACACCCTATCTCAAAGTGAAAAATAAAAAGGACTGGGGATGGCTCAGTGGTTAGGTGCCCTCTGGGTTCAATCCCTGGTACCAAAAAAAAATTAAAGGCTGAGATTATTCATAGAACCAGTAAAGAATTAAATTATCAGTTAAAAATCTTCCCACAGGCTAGAGTATATATGTCCCTGGTTCATCCTCAGCCCTGAACAAAACAAGCAAAAAAAAAAAAAAAAAGCAAAAACAAATAAAAAACCTTCCCATATAGAAAACACCAAGCCAAACATTTAAGAAAGAAGATTTATAATTTTTACCTCAGTGCTGGAGATTGAACCCAGGGCCTCACACTCTACCACTACATTTCACTCTCTTAGACAACAGAATTTTATTAAAACATCTGCACAGTAGATGAAATGAGCTTCCAGTTCATTCTGTGAATCTAATATAACCTAGATATCAAAACCAATTAGAAGCATACTGTATCTGTCAGTGTATATAATACATGATGACACAATTGGATTTATTCCAGTAATACTAGGTTTGTTCAACATTAAAAAAGATAAAATACCATTTACTGCATTAACATTAAATAAAACCATACAATTGGCTCATCACATATATTTGATAAATACTACAATTCTCATTCATGATGAAAATTCTTAGCAAACTAAGAAGACTTTTCCTAAGCTGATAAAAGGCATTTCTCTTTTTAAGGGAGAAATGTTAGAAATAGGGTAAGAATTCTGTTACATTTTTTAGTTAAAAAGTACTACACAGCCTACAGTTACAACAGTTAATGTATGAGGATCAAAAAAGAAGAAAGATACATACATATTGTAGTTGACAGATTTTTTTTCTACTCAAACTCTTCAAATAAATTACTAAAATGAATAAAAAATAATAAGTTGCAGATATAAGATCATTACACAAAAATCCTTCTCTGGAATAAGGCACAAAAAGAAAATTAGGTATATATCCAACAAAAGATGTGTAAACTCTTTATAGGAAATATCAGAGATGATGACTAGTTTCAAATCCTTGTCTGCTTCTAGCCAGCTCTATGACTATATTAAAATCTCATCTGACAGCTTTATAGGATGAATGACATTGTTTAAGTTGCTAATCTCTTTTGCCTAGTTTTCTCATTTGAAAAAATAATAACAATATCTGTTTCATGTGGTGGTATTAGGACTGCCTAAGGCTTGTGCTTATCAAGTTTTTAGCCCAACTTAAGTACTTAATAAATGATTGTTGGTCTTACCTGGGAGGAGTACATAGCAATTATGGTTATTGTGATCCAGCCAAAACAATTTAAACTGTGATCTTTATGCACTATTTAAGAAATCAGGGAACTGAGCAAAATCTGAAGATGATTCTGTTTTACTTTTTGTGGTGTTTTTATGATTTAGCATCTATTTAAAAATTCCCTCTATAAGGAATACATCATTCATCAGGGATGGTATAAATCAATAGGGCAAAGTCACAGAGACTTAAGGTTAAATCATGTCTGACATTATTGGCCTAATGTAAATTTATACTATTCTAAATGTGTTAACAGTTTTCTATTATTGTAACAAATATCTGAGATAATCAACTTATGAAAATACTTTATTTTGGCTCACAGTTCTGGATGTTCTAGCATATGATCAGACCCGTGGTTAGGCAGCACTTCACTAGGCTCCACCTGTTAAAAGTTTCCACTACCTCTCAATAGCACCACTCTAGGGGATAAGCCTTTAACACATAGGGCTTTGAGGGACATTTCAAATCCAAACTGTAGCCCTGAACTTCATGGTATTATTTTAGTTCTGAAGACTCTGAAAGATTTCTTCCTTCTTTTGGCCATACATGCCAAGGAGTCTCTGAGGAGAGCCCAGAAAGAAAAACTATTTTGCAACCTTTTATAACCAGTATAACTTTTACTATTTAGCATTTTATTTCTGTGAAATGTTTCTCTAAACATATAGTTCTATGAAACATTTCTCTAAGCATGCATCCTTAGCATCATCTTTAATGGAGATTATAGACTATTTTTAAAATTTTTCAAATATATATAGGTCTGTCTGTTGAAGGAGGTATTAAATATGGTTATTTCATGCTTTATTACTTTCTTCCCCTGTGAATACTTGTTTTTTGTCTTTCTAGCTGCACGTTATGAAGAAGGAGAGTCAGAAGCAGAGAGCATCACTTCCTTTATGGATGTTTCAAATCCCTTTTATCAGCTGTATGACACAGTTAGGAGCTGTCGGAATAACCAAGGGCAGCTAATAGCTGAACCTTTTTTCCATTTACCTTCAAAGAAGAAATATCCTGATTATTACCAGCAAATTAAAATGCCCATATCACTACAACAGATTAGGTAAGATTTTTCTGTATTACTCTGTGTAAATCTGTTTTCTTATGGTCTAGCCTGAATATATATTATTGTTTCCTAAAATGGATAAGGATTTTAAAAGTAAACTTTTTACCTAATCATTTGTTTGTCTTTTGATTAAGAACAAAGTACAAAAACTTTCCTGCTTACACCTTTCATTGATACTTTAATTATGGTAGTTAAACCATATTTAAATTTTATATTGATAGTTGAATCATCAGAATAAGCATAGTCAATTCTTGGAGAACTTATTAGCTGAAACCGTACTTGAAAGATGGTTCCATCTTGGATTCCCTTTCCTGTTTAGAAAATGTTTTGTTCTGCTTTTTTTTTTTTGAGATGGGATCTTACTCTGTTACCCAGGCAGATCTTGAACTCATGCATACAGTTAGAAAATGATCATTTGGCAATTCAGCCAGACAGAATACTTAAACCACTATAGTATCATTAACAATGGTAAGAAATCATAACAACAGTTAAAAAAAAAATCCAAATTTAAAAATAGGCAGAGGCCAGGCTCAGTGGTACATGCCTGTAATCCCAGCTTGAGATGCTGAGGCAGGAGGATCGTAAGTTCAAAGCCAGCAACTTAGTGTGAGGCCTTGAGCAATTTAATGAGACCCTGTCTCAAGATAAAAAATAAAAAGGGTTGGGGATGTGGCTCGATGGTTAAGGGGCCTTGGGTTGAATCCCTGGTTCACAAAAAGAGAGAGAGAACAGAGGGCTTCCATAGGAGGTTTAGACACTGCTACTGCTGTTGCCACTGTGTCTGTAGTGATCCCTGAGAAGTTGCAGCACATTTTGTAGGTACTCAGCACCAACATGAATGGGCAGTGGAAAATAGCCTTCTTCCAAGTTGGAATTTTCTGATGTAAACTTTGCTTTATTAAGTCACTATTTCAGCACACACATCACCCCAACGCCGCCCGCCATGTCAGTTTTGTGGACACCCCAGTAGGAGTGGGTGAGAAATAGGGAAGTGATTTAGACCTAGATGGTAGTACACTAACATTTTGAAGGGTCAATATGTAGGATGTGTAATCCCTTCTTGGGTCACAGAACCCATGGTGCCTACTAAGAAACTTGCTGTGCCTGGACTCCCTTCTATGTATGCTATGTAGAGCAGCAGTGAAGTGTAGGACAGTGCTATCCAATAGAACTTTCTGCAAAAATGGAAATGTTTTATTGCCTATGTTATCCAATATGATAGTCACTAGTCATGTGTGGCTGTTGAGCATTTGAAATGAGGCTAGTGCCACTGAGGAAGTTGATTTTAAATTGTATTTAAATTTAATCTCGGGCTGGGGATGTGGCTCAAGTGGTAGCGCGCTCGCCTAGCATGCGTGCGGCCCGGGTTCGATCCTCAGCAGCACCACATACCAACAAAGATGTTGTGTCCGCC